TCCAAGATGACTATATTCATTTAACAAATCCAAAACATACTTTCTCTGGCATAAAACTATTCCTTTAATAGATCTAATAACCTCAATCCCCAAAGAAGTGTTTATGATCACCAAGATCTTTAGTTTGAACCTAGAACCAAACAGCCTTTTGAAATGTTCAATTTCCTTGATGGAATTACTAGCTATGTCAATGTCATCAACATACACTAATAATACTATTAAACCAGTAAAACATCAAGTAAACAGATAATGATCTTCTTTGGATTGAGTAAAGCCAAATTCCAACAATGCTTTTATAAACTTTATATTCCATTGCCTTGAGGCCTGTTTTAGCCCATGTAAAGATTTTTTTATGTCTACAAACCAGCCTTAAACTAGAAGGACATATATACTCACACTTAGGCTGATAACTAAGAGGCAAATCCATATAAACTTGTTCATGAAGATCCCAATTAAGAAAAGTTTTAGTGATGTCCAATTAAACCAAATGCTAACAACAAATAGTGGCCAAACCTAAAGACAATCTAATAGTAGAATGCTTAGCAATTGGACTAAAGGTTTCTTGGTAGTCAAAACCAGCTTGTTGACTATAACCCTTTGCTACCAATTTAGCTTTGTACCTTTCTATTGTGCCATTAGAGTGGAGTTTAACTTTATAAGTCCACTTGCATCCCACAAAGTGATGGTGATTAGGCAAAGGAACTACTATCCAAGTATGATTCTCTTCTAAATCATCCAACTCAGCTCTTATGGCATCTTGGCAATGACTATGTTTAATATGAGGTAGGTTCATGTTGGTGAGACAAGGAAACCATAAAGTTTTATGTGCAGATGAAAGATAATCAATAGAAAGATATTGACAAATAGGATCAGCAGTAGTGCCATGTACTCTGGAATCAGGTGTATTATGTTGATAAATGTCCAAGTATTTGGTGCTTTGCTAGTTCTTAAAACTTCTTCATAAATGAACATGATTTTTTGAAGATACAATAAAATCAAAATGATGTTGACTAGATTCAAAAGATGTTGTGGAATTAGAAACATTGAAATTAGTAAAATTAGAGATACAAACTAGCTAAGGTAATGTAGTAATATTAGAGAAATCAAACAATGAAGATGAAATATCAAAATTAGTGGGACAAACAAAACTAGGAGAGGCAAAAAGGAAAATAAGTTCATGAAAAACAATATCCATGGAAATGATTGTGGTATGATCTGATAAATTGTACAATTTATAACCCTTGATTTCCATTGGATATCCAAGAAAAATACATTGCCCTAGGTTGAAATTTCTTTCTATCATGAGGAAGTGTAGTAGCAAACCACATAGAATCAAAAACTCCAAAATGCATATGCATAGGAGGTTTCTAATATAGCAATTCAAAAGGTGTTTGATTATCTAGAACATGTGCGGGAAGTCTACTGATAATATATGTGCTGTGAAAGTTGCATAACTCCAAAATTTAACAGGCAAAGAGGCTTGAAACAATAAGGATCATACAACTACAAGTAAATGTTCATACTTTCTTTCTATAACAGCATTTTGTTGTGGGGTTTCTACACATGAGAGCTAATGAATAATACCTTTAGAGGCATAAAAATCTAAAAGATTGAATTCAAGACCATTGTCAGTTTGTTCTTGTTTAATAAAAAGATTGAATTGATTTTGAACCATGTAATAAAATGGTGGCACCAAGCACAACACATCAAATTTTGCTATTATTAAAAACGCCCAAGTAACTTTCTTGAAACCATCAACAATTGTAAGAAAATAGTGATAACCCCCCTAAGGCAGCCACAGAATAAGGTCCCCGGATAGCCACATGAACAAGTTCAAAGGCAAAAAAAAGGTACTTTTATTATGAATAGGAAAAGGTAATCTCTTTTGTTTAGCAATAGGACATACATGACAAGGAAAGGTAGAATCAATCTTTACATCGAAACATTGATGCTAAATTTTGCTTAGTGTTTCTATAAAAATATGTCCTAACATATAATGCTAGAAATTAAAAGAAGAAGCAGACGCTTGAAAAACAGACTATATGGAAAAAGGAAGAGAATAACAATGCTACTCCAATGATGGCTGCAACAAATATAGCCCAAATTTGATCTTAGCAAGACCAATCATTGCCTTTGCTGAAAAATCCTGAAGAAAATAAGTAGTAGCAGTAAAAATTAACTGAATGTTACCAGAATTGGTAGGTTTACTAACTCAAATGAGATTAAAAGAAAAAGAAGGAACAAAGACGACATCATGAGTTCCACATTGACAATAAGGTAGAGGTCAAAAACTTCGCAATTCCTTCCCAAGTTCAATCAATTTTATAAATTACATGTCTACTAGTTATGTGCCTTGACTTACTATACTCAAAGCAAGTTGGAGATTGCAAATACGAGAGTTATCTAGTTGTGAAAACCTTTTCTTAAGAGTTTTCCAAATCTCTACAGCAAATGTCATGTGAAACACAATAAAAGCAATTGATGGAGAATTTGATTTGAGTAGCCATTCTAGAATGAGATTGTTACAATGAAGCTAAGCATTGTGAAGGGGACCTTAATAGCTATCTCTACAATTAATCCATCAACAAAACCTATTTTGTTTTGAATAGAAAGTGCAAGTAAAAAAAAAAAACAAAAAACAAAATTCTGCTCCAGGAAGCATAGTTGTTGTTAGTGTTAAGGAAGAACAGAAATTGATCCATGATGGTTTGAGTGATACAAAAAAAAAAAAGGAAACTTTGGATCTTCAATTGGAGAAATTTCACTAATAGAAATAAAACTTGAAGTTGTCGATGCTATTAGAACTCAAAAATGGAAGAAATAGGAAATGCAAAGAATAACAACGACCAAGAGAAGAAGATGAATCGAAGAATTCAAACCCTAATGCTCTGATATCATATTAGAGTTTGAGAATTAAAAGTGAGTGAGTGAGAGAGAGAGAGAGAGTATGAGTAAGGAATTCATTTTTTACTATTCACAAATAGTAATAACAAAAAATATATATACAATTGTCTAACTAACAATTTAATAACTTGGTTTAACTAACTAAAAACTTAATAACAAATTAATTACAACCACACAATATAACTTAGCTAAGAAGTTGCCACATCAATACTATTTTTGACTTCTTTGACTCTGATAATTACGACGAATTAAACCCCTAGGGGTCAAGATGTGAGGCATTTGTGAACAGTGACGTTGCCTGGAGAGCCATAGGGCTTTCGAAACATGGCAAATATACCGAGATAGGAGCCAAATTTGTCACACCCCTAACCCAGATTTGACTTTAGCATCTTGCATCTTATTTATCATGATTGCTTGAATCTTGTGGGACTTTAGCTAGACCTAACTTGACTACTGGAGATCTCGTTGCTTTCATATGTTGGGTATGTGAAACATCACTCAACTTTTAATCATGCATATTACATGAAACTACTTCAACATTAGTGTGCCCTACCCCACTTGCTTCCACCTTGCGATAGCAACTGAAGTTGCCAAAACAGTAGGAATTCATTCACAGGTGAAGTCACACAACTCTTTTCTTAAGTCACACAGCTTCGTCAAAGGCGACTTCAAAGGGTTACCATTGAACTAGTGCTTTTCAATCAAACTTTCCTCTACTTTAATGAAATAAAAAACATGCATTGACTCAATGCCACTTAGGGTATTTTTGTTCAAAAATTTTAGCAACTATTTTTTTTTTTTTTTTTTGCAAGCTTAAGATAAGAGAGGGCGAGGGGAAAGAAAAGGTCAATAATCGAACTCATGACCTATAGATGAATCTTATAAGTGTTATACCATTTAAACAAATTTTCAAATTCTTAACAGGTCAAATTTTATCAAAGTTGACCTGCATTATGCTCGCATCTGCAAATTCCAAACGAAATAACAAATTGCTTGTTAAATTTAGGGGATAATCGATTGTTTTATGTAAGGAATATATCTAATTAAAGGTTGATAATTGAGGGGGTTAATGAAAATTTTCCTATATAGTATTGCAATTCTTAATAAAATAATTAATATCAGCTCACAACATTAGCGAGGATAATCCTGGAATTATGTCACTTTATTATCACTTGCAAGGTTTAGTCAATTTTTTATCCCATATCTTCCAAATATCACGTTTACATACTTATAATTGAGCATGAATTTAAATTAACATAACCAATATACCTCTCATAATTAGCGGTCATATAAATAATTTGAATATCTGTGTTATTTTTCTTTTTTCTTTTTTTTTTCCTTTTTTTTTGTGAATAAAAGACATTGAAATTTATTAAATATGAGAAAAATAAAACAGCTCCAGGGAAGCACTTTGAGATAATACGAATCATTGAAATCCTAGGAAACTCCTACAAGACCGAAGCCAGGAATTACAATTAACAAAAAGAATAAGCACCGACCAGCGATACCGGACCAAAAACCAAAAGTGACAAAAAGGCCAAATGCAGGGTAAATTACACAGTCACTCCCTGTACTTTTATCTTAGTTTCGTTCTGTCTTCTAGATTTTTAATTGTGATAGTCTAAATCCTGCAGTGAACTTTTGGTCAATTATGAGCTTAATCTTCTACAAACATAGTTTACCAGCTCCCACTTACATGGCTTACACATAGATCAAATCCTCTATAACTATATAAAACAACGTATAACAACGTGGGTTGGTGGTTGTCTATGCCTATTTCTTCTTATATACATCATCATCCCCAGCTGTAGCTTTACTTCCAAGAACTGCTACCAGTTGGACAATGGCCATGCCAATAAGATACCAAGTAAGAGCTGCTAGAAGGACCTGTAACCAGGAACTATTGATAATCTGCAATGCTAATGAACCCCCTATGTGCTCTTCCAACTTACCCCCACCACTTACATCCGGCTCGCTTATTAGTTGCAGACGAATCACAGCTGCTGCAATTGTTGCCAACACCGTTGGAATGCCCCATGTGAAGGGGTGGTCCGAATATCTCTGAGTCTCATTTGAATTCTCCTTCTCCATGTTTGCTACAAAATCTCTCTTATTGTCCGAACCTGAAGTACTGGCTTACGCCTGGAGCCCGAAATATCTTCCATGCTCGAGTCCTCTGGGAGAACTAGAATTTGTGATGGAGTCCAATACTCATCACCATTGGTGGATACATTGTAATTTGAAGAGACGCTTCTTCTGCTTGTAGTAGTCAGTTGGGGATTCTCTCTTGCGTGTTTTCTAGCTGCAGCAGCTTCCTGGAGCTTGTTGATACTGATATTGCTAGTGTTGCTTGGTTCCTCAGATCTGTCGCCCCCCGCTCTGGCAGCTATCAAATACTTCAAATTCTCACCTCTGCTTTGTTCCACTGGTGACGATGGTGTACTAGGTCTGGGTATTTGCCAGTATTTTATCCAATTTGAGATTGACTTGATGGCTTCAATGGTTGATCTTCTAGCTTGTCTTTGGGAATCTGATTCCTTTTTTGAAGAAAGAAATTTTTTAATAAATAAAATAGAAAAGGAACTTCACTACAAAAAAATAGACACCAGAAAATACTGACTAATATTATTGGCTTAAAAGGATTTTCTCAAAAATTTGTATTTATTTTATTAATTTTCGGTTAATTACACTTGGCAACCTTACACTTTGGGCACTGGGGGAGTTTTACTTTGCCCCTGAACTTCTAATTTATTACAGTTTGAGTCAACTAGCAATGCAAACTCCATCTAAAGGGGAAAAAAATAAGTTTAGCCAAATGAACTTTCCTCATCAGCCCAACAAATTTCATTATTGAATCTTTGAAGGGTACAATGAAATTGATAAGTGTAGGGTGAATTTATAAGCAAATCCAGCCTCTCAGTGGAATCCGTTCAAGGAAATGTCGGATTTGCAACTCTGAATAAAATGTTAACAAGGTTTACATAGCTAATAATGTAATTTACCTTATTAATATCTTCAAAGCTCTATTAACTAATATACGTATAGATTATATATAGCTGCAGATGGATCAAAGGAATTAAATTAGGCTTAAACTGAATTTATACACACAGAACTTACCTTGGACCGTTTTGTGGAAGCTTTATTCGTGACCTCTCGGAATCTTGCCTGGAATTTATCCACATCAACAAAGATATTTGAGACACGTGTGCCAACAGTATTGCCTGCTCCAACTCTTACATTTCCCCGAGGTTGCTTTGACATTAGGAATTCTAAGGCAGCCAAGTTGGATCTCTCCACAATCCTGAGTTCAGTTCAGCCAACAAGTGAAATGAATTAACAACTAAATACAAAGGAAGAATCAAATTCATGGTTTTTTCATCTGGAAATTTTGGATTAGTTCAATGGAAGATGTCTTCAATGTCTCTGTTAGTTAAGCTGTCGCCTTCCTTTAATTCGAACATTTTTAGTGCAACAAACTAGCCAAGCAAAGTCGAACTCAAGCTTGATTTGCCTAATTTTAGCAAGCTTGAGCTTAATTTCATGGAACTCAAGCATGGCTCACTTAAATTTGATATTTTCAAGTTTTATAACAAGGTAGCTTGTTTATGAAACTTGCTTGAAATGCAACTTGCTCATTACATATTAAATTTAAGAATTATATATGACTAAGTACATATTAATTCATTAGCAAACTAATAAAATCTTGCATCCAAGTACTTGTAAGATTTAAATCAATCTATTAACATGCTTCTCTTTTCTGAAAGAAAAACTGAATAAAATTAAGCTCTAAGAATCAAGGAGATTGCCACCAAGAGAAAACCTCCAAAGCGGCAAATGGCTAGACACCTGGAGTGCACATTCAACCAAACAGTAACAACCACCCCATATTGAAAAACCAAACAAGAACATACAACAAACCATGAGAAAATCAACAATCAATTATTTTTTGAGGAAGAAAAAGAGAGTTAATTAAGTATGCACGTACGAGATGCAATCGACTGGGCAGGCATCAATAGCCTCTTGAATGGTGGAATGAGTATCAGCCCACTGAGCAACAACTCGAGCTCTTCCATAAACAGACTCGACTGCAAACGTGTTTTGAGCAAGCAAAGCACATTTCAAGCACCCGACACATTTGACTTCGTCCACGAACACCGCCCTTTGTTCAGTCTCCGCTCCTAACCACACAGAATATATCGGCTTGCCGGTGTAGCCTCGCAACTCCGCAACCTTCGCTCTCTCCTTATCGTAAGCGGAGCGAGAAATGGGATCGGAGAGAAGCGAATAAGCCTGATTGAGAATGATAGCCATGTCGTGTCCCGCGGGGCCGGCGATGTCGGGGTGGCACCGCTTCTGGAGGGCCCTGTAAGCTGACTTAATCTCGGATTGCGGAGAATTGCTTTCAACTCCCAAAAGTTCGTAAATATCATTCACCTCCTCAGACAACTCTGCCAATGAATTATTAGCCTTAGCCTTGCAGAAGGTGGAAAAGCTAAAGCATTTAGGGTTTCGATTCTTTGTTGCGATTAACGAAGCGGAAGTGGCGGGAGTTGCGTATGCTGTTGCGAGACTGCAGCCTGCAGATTGCATTTTCTCGCTCCAGCCGTTCTGCTTAATTGGAAAGAGAGAGAGCTGGCTGTTTAATTGGGAACAAGAAGATAAGGGAGATATTTCAGCGATTGTAGACGTGACGTGAGATATTTTGCATGCTCTTTCCTTCTAATAGATTTTTGTGGAAAAAAAGTTTAATAAATTTTTAACCATGTAATAAATAGTTAATAACTGTATTTTCCGCACCGTACCAAAAAAAAAGTAACAGTAATTTTTTTAAACTAAAATTTTTAAGCAATTCAATATCATCCATAAAAGCAATTGAATGCTACATTGAAGTAGTTTATTGTGCTCTTATTGTCGGTTTGTACAAATTATTTTCCAGTAATTTTTTATTTTTAATTATTTTTGAACAGTTTTGTATATTTACCTTAATGTTTGTCATGTTATTTTTAAAAAAATTTAGTTAAAAATAGTCAAAGATAAAAATATCCAAATCTCTACTTTTTATAATTAATGATATAATTGTAAATAATTAAAATTTCTGATACATAAATATATCCTAATATTTTAATTAAATTTCAATCTCACCTCTTGACGATTAAGAATACAAAAACTCAAAATATATCTTAAGTTTTTTATTATAGGCAAGTTATTTATTTTAATTAAATCAAAATTTAAATTAGAATTTAAAAATAAGCAAAATTATATTTTTAAATTGAAAACAAATTATATTGAAAAGAACAATGTCAATATTAGATTTTATAAAATCATTAATAAATTACATAAATATAATATGTAGATTATTAAAAATTATTAATTATTTTATAAATTATTCATAATTTGTTTATTTTCTTACCTTAACAATTTCAAAATAACATTTACAACTCAAGAAAATTTATTTTATGTTCATATATATATATATATATATATTACTTTTTAAATGAATAAATAATTCATAATATAATAAATAATTATTACAAATATTTTACCAAATATCGATTTATAATATTTGCTATATTTTAATAAAATTTGTAAATATCTCAATTTTTATACTTTTGATACTTTTTTAATTATTACTTCTCATTTAATAGGTTAAATAATTTATATTTTCGATACTTTTTTAATTATGATTTCCTGTGTAATAGGTTAAATAAGGTAAAATTGTATAAGACAACTTTTAGATAAATTATATAATATTTTAGATTATTATATATATAATTTATAGCAAATCTTAATAAATATTTTATCCTCGTTGTAGTACAAAAGGTTACGGAGAAAACAAGGTATAGTCAATGTTTAAAAAATTAGACCATTCATTGAACTGGAAAATTTACCAGTTCACGGTTTACTAGTCGGACCGTTAATTGAACCATAATCGAACCATGACATCATAATTATGTAATATATATATATATATAAAAATAACACACCATCAATCTATTATTCAAAATAAATATAAAAGGTTGAAATTATAATTGTTTAAGTTCACATTATTTTAAAATTACTAAAATTCACAAATCACAACTTTCTTATATGATTACAATTTTCTAGAAAAACAAAAAAATAATAATATCAAATAATTTGAAAATAAAAATGTGATAGAAATTTAAACAGTTTTTTAGATTAAAAACAATTAAATTATTCATATTTCATTCTCGAAATGAAATGACCCAAATTTAATTAACTTGGATAATATATGAAAATAATTTTTTTATCATATTAAATTTTTGTTAAAAAATGTTAATCATTGATGATATGACACCAATTTTCAATATATATTTTAGTAAATACAGAATTTTCAACAAACAAGTTGTGGTTTGGTGGTAGAAAACCACATAACCACCATGTGGATGCAAGTTCAATTGCTACACAATTCAGAAGCATTATTTTAATCGTCCGGTTCAACTAAACCGTGAATGGTTTAACGGTTCAAGCGGTTGGACCGGCAATCCAAACAATTTTCATAAAATAATCTGGTTTTCTTAACTCTACTGGTTTTTAACAAAAACTAAACTGGAAGCATGACCGGTCAACGGTTGAACCAGTCCAACCTCCTGGCCTGGTCTAATTTTCTAAACCATGGATATAGCCTAGGGGATCATTTGTGAAGCCTTCAACCATAGGGAGTAAGAGTAATACGTCTAGCTATGGGTAAAAAGTTAAGGAGTGGTAGAAGACTTATTTTTACTATGTTCTTAGTTAGCTATAAATAATTGCGTACATGCATTTCTATAATTGGATCTCCCATTTTACTAGACTATTAACTGGCAAGTTGCAACTATCAAGATTTAGGACTCATGAGTGGTTAGTAATTAATTCTGTCACAATCCAAATTGGGGCGTCTAACCAACGTTAAGGTAAACTTATCTACCTTAGTCAACTCCAAAAGTCACAATTAAAATAATTTTAAATGCAAGACTCTCCACAAATTTGAATAGAACATTTCTTAAAAACTAGACATAGTACAAATTTTTGACTTGTACACAATTTATAAAGTCCTAACAACAACCCAAAACAGTTTATAAGCTAATAAAGTAAGATCTAATAACATTCAATATATACGTCTATTTCAGATTACAAGTTATCAACACAACTTGCTTACATAAACTAGCAATTAACTAAAATAGAAACAATATTAATACAATAAACATGCTAGCTAAGAATATACAAAAATGAAATCCTGCATGTGGATAAATAGAGCAACTCTAGAAATTCATGAACTCAAAACTATCATAATAAAAGTAATACAAAAACAATGAAAGTAATACACCCAAGCACATATGTAGATGTGAGCCTCATCAATTACAAGACTTCTCTATCAAGTAGATGAAACTAACCTGGGGAGAGAAGAAAAATGTGAGTCACGAAATTTAGTGAGCAATATTATATATTCTATGTTAGGATGAGTATCGTAACAAATATTTTATGAAATCCATTTCATAAAATTTGAATCAATCGTAGAAAACACTTTGTGAACTGAATTCATTACTTTAAATAGAAAATAGTCAATACACAAGTCACATATTTTTAAGTAGTGTAGGAGTTTACTTTCATATCACACATCTAGATTCTAAGGCATTTGATCATATTAGATAATTAGGCTCTAAGGCTCTAATCACATCACTGGCACAATGTGCACAATCACAATATAAACCATACGTGTGAGCCAAACACGGCAGGCTAGCAATGGCTTTACTAACTAAGGTTCCAATTAAAGTGCACCCAAGCTAATAACGCTCCTACTAGTTGAGATTATATCAGAGTCTCCCACAACACTATTCTTTTTCAAAGTTTTTATCAAAGTTCAAAACATAAATTTAGGTTCCCTTTTTCATAATTTGGCAACATAATCATTTACCAAAACCTTTGCATTCTCATAATTCAAAATTAACAATTTTGGTTCATATGTAAAACTCAAAGTACATCATAAGTTCAAAGACACAAGTTTACAAGATACTTACTCACTTTACAATGAATCATGCCAAACACATTCATGTTAAATGGTTCCTCGAAACATACAACATAATTTAAAATCATGTGACATGATAATGCTTTGAAATAAATTGGCATATAATGCATTTAGAAAATTTTAATAAAACACATATAAAGAATAAGCATTATTAGTCATAATGTAAGCCCAAAAAGAAGAGAGAGCGTTTAATGGGGTAGAAACCCTAGTCGTGCCCTAGCCTCCCCTCCCCTCTCCCTCTTTCTCCTTTTTCTACCTCTTATGCACGTGGCCCTATCGACTACAATTCGCTGTCCAACATGCTTGTGCCATCGTCACCGTCCTGCCTTGCCGAAAGCCGTCGAGTCATCTCCTTCTTCAGCAAGGCAGGCAACCATTTTTGGTCCTTTTTCAAGCGATAGACCCCCTTGAGCCCAGATTCAACCAATCATGAGGTCCCCTACTCACCTTCCCTCTATTCCCTCTCTTTCCCTCCGTCGATAGTGCCTCTTGAGTGAATATCCTCCCTATTCAGTGTTGGCAAGTGGATGACAGAAAATCCACTAGCCTTTCCACACTAATATCAACCCTATCTGAACATAGTGATGACTATGGTGTGTCATCCCTTCCATACGGTATCTCTTAGCTTCGATTAAGACAAGAAGGCGTCAGTCTCTCCTTCTCTACCCCCTCTCTCCCATCAACATTGGGAGAGATATGTACTAAAAAAATGTGGCTTCTGCAATAATGATAAAAAGCTGAAAAAATGGTGAATGCCTTACTTGGTCATCTGTTGTGTTGTTCTATTGAGAAGGCATTGAATGCATATTGTCATCTACTTAGTCCTATTGAATGAGTATTGAGTGCATTTGTGTTCTAATCTATGATTTTGAAAGGGTAACTGGATGCATTTTGTGCTTTGCTTTATTCTATAGAACAAGTGTTGATGCTTATGATGAAACTGCTCTGATTCGGCTAATGTGATATGGCTATGCTGATTAGCTTATAACTTATGTACTACCAATGCTTATTAGCCTATGAGTTATGTGCTGCTAATGCTAATGTGATGCTGAATCATCTGATTAAGTACTATTGTCTTATATTGCTATCTGCTGATACTAAGATGATGAATTTGCTCTAATTAGCTCATATTTGAAATGATTTTAGAGATTGTTAGGCTAATGTGATGTGCCAATATTGATTAGCTTATGAGTTATGTGTTGCCAATGCTAATGTGATGCTGGATCATCTGCATGCCTACTGTTGTCTTATGTTGCTATCTGCTGATACTAAAATGATGAATTTGCTCTAATTAGCTCATATTTGAAATGGTTTTAGAGATTGTTAGGCTAATGTGATGTGCCAATGCTAATTAGCGTATAAGTTATGTGTTACCAATGCTAATGTGGTGCTGGATCATCTGATTAAGACTGTTGTCTTATATGTTGCTATCTACTGATGCTAAGATGATGAATTTGCTTAGATTAGCTCATATCTGAAATGGTTTTGGAGATTGTTAGACTAATGTGATGTGCCAATACTGATTAGCCTATGAGTTATGTGTTGGCAATGCTAATGTGATGCTGGATTATCTGCATGCCTACTGTTGTCTTATGTTGCTATCTGCTAATGCTAAGATGATGACTTTGCTCTAATTAGCTCATATCTGAAATGGTTTTGGAGATTGTTAGGCTAATGTGATGTGCCAATGCTGATT